CTTTGAAAAGCAGGTGTATTTTGCATCCCTTCTGTAATTTATTATAGAAACAATATATTGTCTTTGTTCTTTAAACATAAAATTAGACCATTCTGTTTTTGCCAAGCCGCCCATCCCTTGCTAGCTGAGAGTTTGGGGGCTTGGTGTAAAGGGCGTATCTGTGAACCAGTTTCATGCCATGCAATTCTATGAGAAAAAGGCAACGCAGCTTCCATTTATTAGGCTGACAAAAATGAAAAAGTCAACGAAAAATATTCTTTCACTATGTCCCATAAATATGAAGTGGGGCTTGGAAATTTCCCAGGGACAAAACCCCATCCTTTGGGTCTGTTTTATGCCTCAGCATGTGGTTGGAAGTGGGGGTGGCAGAGGGGACCCTGCAAACGTCAAGTCCGCCATTGGCTGGCTCTCGCTGTCTGCCGCACGGCTTCCACTAAAACACTCCCCCAGGGAAATTACCGGAGACAGGAAGAGCGACTGAACGGTAACTGTGGGGTCTGTTTTCTAAAATCACGGTTGATGTTCTGATGACTTGTCACCAGGAGGGCCAATTTGCAGCAAGCACATCACTTAGGCTCGCCTTGAGTAGCACCCTGAGGTTGGTGTTCTTGCTGTCTCTAGTTTTTCTGTTTTTAATTGCTGGAGGGCACATGTGCTTGCCAGAACGAAAGAGAGAGAGAGAAAGGGAAAAAGAGAGAGGAAAGATGGAGAAACACCCCTTGATGGGGCATGACCACACCGCAGTTCCTTCTCCACTTCTCTACCCCTGTGGGACTGTGGGCATGCATCTGCATGGGCCCAGGGTACTTTTGAAGCTGTGGGATCTGGCTCTCTTAACCACTGAGCTACAGGGCGGGCCACTATTTTTTCCCATGAACTTTATGATTGTTTTTTTGCCAGTAGGCATGTGTACTCAACAGAGAGACAGAGGGAAAGGGAGAAAGCACCCCTCCCCCTGTGGGATGTGGTCAGGCCACAACCTCTTCTCCATCCGTTGGACATCTGGGCACGCACATACTTGTGCTCAGTGTGTTTCCCAAGCTGCCAGGGCTGAGCCTTGAACCCTGTGGCCAGCCACGTATAGGCTCCTTGTAGCTTCTTCAACTACCAGGCCATGGGGCTGGCCCTTTCTTCTTTTTTTCTTTTTTTCTTTTTTTAATATACAGAAAGAGACAGCTCTCTCTCTCTCTTTCTTTCTCTCTCTTTCTCTTTCTCTCTCTTTCTCTTTCTCTCTGTCTCCCTCTCTCTCTCCACACACACACATTGGATAATTAAAAAAGTCATGACAGATTTTATTGCATAGAAAAATATAGAAAAGTATGGATGACTTCCGATGACCTAATACGTTACACTCTTTTTTTTCTTCTGTGATAGAGAGAGAGAGAGCGCACGCGAGCGAGCCCCGTAATATGGTCCTGACTCTGTGATCTACGCCCAGTCTCAGCCAGCCCTGGATCACTGGGGCGGGGGGGCTGTGCCCATGATCCAGGACTTAGAGAGGTCTCAGACATGCTCCTGGAGCCTTCTCTTGTGGGTCAGCCTCTCACAGTGGCAAATCTGCTACCACTGCATTGTTCACCACCCTGGTTTTTCCCATTCTGTGTGCTCACTGGAAAACCCCCCCAGCAGGAGTGTTCCACGGGGACTCCAGGAACCTGGTTCTGACGCCAGCTCCAATTTACTTGCTGACTTAGGGCTGTCCAGTGGTAAGAGCACGAGACTGCCAGCAGCTGTTTGTCCTTCTGTATCTGCAAGGAAGTCAATGTCGGTTTTAGGCTAAAGTAGTGCAGAAATCCCTTCCGTCTTGGAAGAATAGGGTGCTTTATGTAAAAATAAATTAGAGCACCCGTGTGGAGTATTAAAGTGGGATTTCACTTTGAGAGATCCATATTAAGGCCAGGGACTGTGAAATTTAAAGGGGTTGGTGGGCCACCCAGTGGCATGGTGGTTAAGTTGCTAGATCCCATGTGGCTGACTGTGCAGTTCAAGTCCTGGGCCCAACAGCTTGAAAAACGTGTGTGTGAGCCCAAAATCCTGAGAGGAGAATGGAGGAGAAGAGCCTACATGACCATCTCCCTTGGGAGGTGCTTTCTCCCAGCAGGTGGCGTGGTGGTTAAGGCGCTGTATACTGCCACATGGTCGACCACGGTTCGAGTCCTGGACCTGGCGGCTTGCTTTCTCACTTTCCCTCCATCTCTTTCTCTCTGTGTCTCTCTCTGGTCAGATTAAAATGAATGAATGAATAAATAAAATTAAATAAATAATTCTTTAAAAAAAAGAGTTGAAAGAATATAAACAAACATATATATCTACCTAAAACAAGTGATAACTCAATCACTTATACAAGAGGATTTCAAAAAATTTGTGGAAAAATGGAATTAAAGCACAAGTTTATTTTGGTGCAAAAACAGTTGAAATTCAGCACAGTGCTTTTTTTTTTTTCTCCTTTTCTTTCTTTCCTTTTTTTTTTTCTTTTTGAGAGATTTTTGCTATAAGGTACACTCACTCTCCAGAGACAGAGACAGAGAGAAAGTGAGAAATCACCCCCCCCGGGGGGGGAATGGTCATACCACAGTCCCTTCTCCATTTTCCTCTCAGGATTTTGGGCATGCATGCACATGTGTCTAGTCTTAGGCCACATTGGGTCTAGGACTCAATGGTGTTGGATATGGGCGTCCAGTACCTTAGCCACTACGCCACCTGCTAACCCCTCTTTTTTCATTTAAGGTTTTTCACACTAGGGAGAGAAACAGAGACAGTAAGAGGGAAAGTAAGAAACCCCCCTCCCCCTTGCACGCCCTCCCACCTGCTCCCTCGCCAGAAGGGGTGGCCATGCCGCAGTCCCTTCTCCTCCATTCTCCTCCTGGGATTTTGGGCACACGCTCACACACACACACATGCCCTGTGTGATTTATAAGCCACCAGGTCTGGGATTCAAACTGCGATCAACCACGTGGGAGTCCAGCACCTTATCCACCATGCCATTTACTGGCCCCCATGCACAGTGGTTTTGGTTATATATATTTCCATGAACTTTTTGCAAACCCCTTGTACTAAAGAATGCAGAAATGATGATGACCATGGGCTCTAGAAACTGACCCATGCTTTGTCATTCAGACCTGTGCATCTGTCCCCAAGTTACTTAACCTCTCTGTGCTTTAGTGTTCTCTATAAAATGAGTATACTATTGTTGTGAGTGATAAACAGGTTAATATATGCTCAGTGTTCAGATGCCGTCTTAGTACATGCTGTTTTGGTGTTACCTATTAATTACTATTAGGTGGTATTTTCCAAACTTTATCACATCTGCAACTGTACAGGGAGGAGGATGGACTGCCTCAGTGCTTTTCTACCCTGGGTGAACATTGCAGTCACCAGTCACCTGGGTGGGAAGCTTTTACAATTCTGATGTCCAGAGTTCTCCTTGCCCTCCTTCACACAGAAGCTCTGGACGTAGGGCCTGGACACTGGAATTTTTTTTTTTTTTTTTGAGAGGTTTTCGCTATAGGGCGCATGTGCTTGCCAGAAAGACAGAGAGAGACAGAGAGACAGAAAGCGAGAAATCACCCCCCAGGGGGGATGGCCACACCGCAATCCCTTCTCCTCCATTCTCCTCTCAGGATTTTGGGCACGCATGCACATGTGCCTGGTGCGAGCTTAAGCCAACGGGTTCGGGACGTGAACCGTGGTCAACTACGTGGGAGTCCAGCGACATAGCCACTACGCTAACTGCTGGTCCCAACACTGGAATTTTTGAAAGCTTTCTGTGCGATTCTGGGGAGCAGTGAGGCTGAGAACAGGGGAGAGATGGTCCTGAGGACCTCGCATCTTGGTTATCAGCAGGATGGGATTCTACTTGAAAGGGTTGGAGCTTCCCTTCCCGTCCTTGCTGCACTCAGATGTGTGACTCAACTTCCTGTTCTCTCTTTACAAATCTGAATTGCAGCGAAAGGCCAATAACATAGAACTAACCATGTAAAAGTGTATAGCACAGGGACCAGCAGGTGGCGCGGTGGTTAAGTGCTGGACACTCCCAAGTGGCTGACCCCAGTTTGAATCCTGGACCTGGTGGCTTGCTTTCCCGCTTTCCTTCTCTTGCTCTCTCAGTGTCTCTCTCTGGTCAAATTAAAATAAATGAGTGAATAAATAAAATGCAATAAATAATGATTACACATAAATAAAGTGTACAGCTCAGTGGCATGTGTGTTCTGTGTGTTCACAATGTCGTGGGACCCCCACTTCTTTCTAGTCCCTACTCATTTTCATCACCCTGGAAGTAAAGGTGGTACCCACCCTACCCCTGCCCCAGCCCCTGGCAAGCATCGATTTGTGTTCTGTCTCCTTGGCTTTACCTATTCTGGGTGTTTTATATCAATGGAATCATGCAGTGCCTGGCCTTTTTTATTGGGCTTCTTTCACTTGGCATAATTTTGTCACGTTCACCCACATGGAGACAGGTATCAGGACTACATTCTTTTTCCTGGCTGCATTGTGTTCCGCCATGTGGAGAGACCATGTTCTCTTCTGCCACATGCCCATTGGTGGGCAGTGGCTACTATGAACAGTGCTCGTGTGAACACGATGGGCAAGTGTCTCCTTGAACACCGATTTTGTTTGTTTGTTTTTGTTAGAGGGTGCATGCACTCACCAGAGAGAGACAGGGAGAGAAAGGGAGAACGGCCACGCTGCCATCCCTTCTCCTCCACTGCCCGCTCAGGATTTCAGGCATGCATGCACACATGCTCGGTGCATTTTCCAAACTGCAAGACTTGGGACTCGAAGTGCACACTTGGCCATGTGGTATCCAGCTGTTTTAACCACCGTGCCACCTGACTGGCCCAAACACCTGTTCTCAATTCTTTTCAGTGTGTGTCTGGGAATAGAATTGCTGGCAGTGGAAATGCAAGGGTAATTCCATATTTAACTTTTGGAGGCCCTGCCCAATTGTTTCCTTGCGGTTCTATTGCATAAATGCTCATCTCTGTTCTCGACCCTCACAGGTCTTCCTTGACGTGTCCCCACTGCCTGAAACAGAGCAACACCTTCGATCCCTTCCTGTGTGTGTCCCTACCCATCCCCCTGCGACAGACGAGGTATGTGAGTGTCATAGCTTACCCAGGAGCTGGTTTTTCTTCATTTTATTCAGTTCATTTACTTATTTCTCTCACAAAAAGGAGAGACAGAGAAAGTGATAAAGCAAGCCACCAGGTCTGGGACTCGAACCCTAGTCAGCCATGTGGGAGTCCAGTACCTTAACCACCATCCCCTTTTGGCCCCTGTTGTTTTTTTTTTTTTTTTTTTTTTTTTTTTTTTAACTGTATTATTTCCTTCATGAAAGAGAAGTAGATAGGGACATAGACAGACAGAGGGATGGCCACCTTCACAAGGGTCCCAAGGCATGATCCACCCCAAGCCTTAGTCAGCCCTGGATTCTGAGCACGTGCACAGGGCCTGGTGTGTAGAGATAGGTTGTAGGACACAAAAAAGTGTCCTTCCCTGTGGGTGCAGTTGCACTCCCCCTGCCTCATCTGGTCCCTTGCCGGGATGGTGACTTCTGCCCCCACGCAGTACTGGGAGCTTCTGGCCTTGTACCTGTCGTTTTCCTTTTTGCTTCTCAGCAATGTTTACCAGAAATCAATCTTTTTTCTTTTTCTTTTCTTTGGAGAGGTTTTTTTTTGCTATTATGGGACGCATGCGCTCGCCAGAGAGAGACACAGAAAGCGAGAAATCATCCCCCCGGGGGGATGATTTCTCGCTTTCTGTCTCTCTAGAGGAGAATGGAGGAGAAGGGATTGCGGCGTGACCATCCCCCGTGGGGGGGGATCTCTCGCTTTCTGTCTCTCTGTCTCTCTCTGTCTGGCAAGTGCACACGCCCTATAGCAAAAACCTCTCGGGAACCAGCAGTTAGCGTAATGGCTGTGTCGCTGGACTCCCACGTAGTCGACCGCGGTTCGTGTCCCGGACCCGGTGGCTTAAAACTCACACCGGGTGCGTGTGCGTGCGTGCCCAAGATCCCGAGAGGAGAATGGAGGAGAAGGGATTGCGGCGTGACCATCCCCCGTGGGGGGGGATCTCTCGCTTTCTGTCTCTCTGTCTCTCTCTGTCTGGCAAGTGCACACGCCCTATAGCAAAAACCTCTCGGGAACCAGCAGTTAGCGTAATGGCTGTGTCGCTGGACTCCCACGTAGTCGACCGCGGTTCGTGTCCCGGACCCGGTGGCTTAAAACTCACACCGGGTGCGTGTGCGTGCGTGCCCAAGATCCCGAGAGGAGAATGGAGGAGAAGGAGAAGGGAGTGCCGCGTGGCCATCCCCCCGGGGGGATGGCCACGCGGCAATCGCTTCTCCTTCTCCTCCATTCTCCTCTTGGGATCTTGGGCACGCGCACGTACTCGCGCCAGGCGTGAGTTTAAACCACCAGATCCAAGACTCGAACTGCAGTTGACTACATGGGCATTCATAGAAATCAATCTTTTATATTTTTTTTAGGATTTTGCTATCAGACGCGTGCGCTCGCCAGACAGAGAGACAGAGAGACAGAAAGCGAGAAATCACCCCCCAGGGGGGATGGCCACGCACCAATCCCTTCTCCTCCATTCTCCTCTCGGGATCTTGGGCACGCACGCACACACGCCAGGCATGAGTTTTAAGCCACCGGATCTGGGACGCGAACTACGGTCGACTACGTGGGAGTCCAGTGACATAGCCATTATGCTAACTGCTGGTCCCCATAGAAATCAATCTTGAAGATGGATGAGACTCAGTTATCAAATGTGGCCATGTCTCTTTTTAATTTTTAAAAATGTAATTAATTATTATTATTATTTTGTCATAGGGCATGTGCACTCTCTGGAGAGAGACAGAGACAGAGAGAAGGAAAGTGAAAAATCAGCCCCCAGGGAGATGGCCATGCTGCAATCCTTTCTCCTCCATTCTCCTCCTGGGATTTTGGGCATGCACACACAGGCGTCCAATGCGATTTTCAAGTTGCCAGGCCCAGGACTTGAACCACGATCGACCATGTTGGGTCCACACCCTTAATCACTATACCACCTGCTGGTCCTGGCCAGAAGGCTTTTGTTTGTCAGCACCATTGCCGGGCCTAGTCCTGGGCCTGTTCAGCAGTTGGTCCGAGCCTATTGGTATCCCTTAGTCAGACAGGGACAAAGTAGAGAAAATGTGTCACCACCCGCTTCTCCCTGCATCATTTCAAGGTCCCTTTGCTTCTTTTGAAGATTTAGAGGGAAAAAAAAGATTTCTTTAAGAAGCAAATAGAGAGGAAAACCTCTGTTTGAAGGAGAGAGAAAAGCAAAGTGGAGACAGAGTTAGGCTTGTAAGGAGCCAGGAGAGGCTTAGCTGTGTGAAAGTAAGAAGCCAGCAAGGGCTTCCTGGAAGCCCAAGTCCCAGCAGTGGCCGTCAGGCAGCTGGCCGATGGCCGTGTCATGGGATGTTCATGAGCTCCTGTCCGGGTTCCCTTCGCTGGCACTAAGATGGAGGCATTTCTTCTTTATGTTCTCTGCCTCCCGAGTGCTATTCCTCTGCCCCTCTGCCTGTCAGCGTCCTCCATTGGTGGAATCCCTTGGTGGGAAAATGGCAGTAAGATTGCACCTGAAGACAGGCCATCTGCATGATGCCTCCTTGGCAACTGTCCCCGGGCCTGCTCTGAAATCCTGCGCTGCAAGTCATCCATACCACAGATGTAACTCCTGGCTCATACTGTAACCTGGCTCCACTGTCACTGGTGCCATCATCAGATAACGTCTGCTGGTTCATGTGATCTTAGACTCCTGGCCTGGTGCAGGATTGCACAGAGTAGAGCCAGACTACTCAGGTTCAAATCCCAGCACTGCTAACTTCGCTGTGGGACTTGGACAATCACTGCAACAGAGAGCGGGAGGAACAGTAGCCTGCGGACTGGGCCTCGGTGTACCTGTGGGGAGAGTGTGAAGTGAAACTGGATTTCCAAGAGAGAATTTCATTAAGAAAAGAAGAGCATCGATAATGTTGATTTGTCCTGGAAGAAGTCACTTGACTGCTTTCATTTTCAAATATCAAAATTTGTTTTTGCTTAGGATTATTTCGATAGACAAGTAGAGCCTGAGACTGGAGATCTAGATGGTGATTCTTAATCAAATATTTTTTATTTTCAACTCTGGAAAATTGAGAGGCGATTTGACTCATGACTACCACCTGGTGGCAGTGTACCAAAAGTGTAGGGACAAGAAGTGGAGGTTAAGTACTGAACTTGAGCCATTGGTCAATGGTGTTGGTGAGTGTTCCTGTCAGTCCTTTAAGGATATGCCTCCCCCCTTCCTATTTTTCAGATTCTTGAGTGTTACGTTGGTCTTCCCCTCCAAGAGCCAGCGGTTCCTACGGGTTGGACTGGCTGTGCCCATCCTCAGCACAGTGGCAGCGCTGAGGAAGATGGTGGCAGAGGAAGGAGGCATCCCTGTAGATGAGGTAATGATGGCATTGCATCTGGGCTTGGTCGCTGGATGACAGAATGCTAAGCGGGCCAGCTGTCTAGGCTGTTTAACTAATCTGTGGTTCCCAGGTGACTCCAGTATGACTCACATGTTTCTGTTTGGTTAGTAGTACCTGTGTGTGATGACTTGGCTTTCACCCTGCATTGACTCAGAATGACCAGGAAAACACACCTTTGCCTTCCAAGAAGGTGATGATGACTAGGATTGTAATGCTGTCAACAATAGCTAACCCTCAGTGCTTACTAAGCACTGGCCAACCCTGTCTGTGAATTTTATCTTCACTTACAGCCATAGCTTATTTACTCACAATCATTCTGAGGTAGATATTACAGTTAGGGAAAAAGAAATCTGAAGGGTTTAGTTGACTTTTGCATGGTCACACAGCTGGGCTGAGCTGGGATTTGAACATAGATGGTTGATTTCAGAGCCTAAGCTACTGTTCATTGTTTTCACTCCTGAGACTATAAACCAGAATACAGAAGGGACGATAACTGAAATAGGAGGAAGTGCTGAGAGAACCAAGGATGGGTGACACGACAGAGGAGACCTGGGAAGGAGGAAAGGCTGGTTTCTACTTTTCTTTAAAATGTATTTAATTCTTCTGTGTGAGAGAGACGCACAGAGACAGACAGGCACCTCTGACAGGGTCTTCACATTGTAATCCACTCCCAGTCTCAGCCACCTCAGATCATGGGCATGCCTGTGTTTGCCTGCTCTATACGAGGAGGTCCCAGGTCATGGATCTAGGACCTTCCCATGTCGATCTAGCTGTATTACCACTGTTCAACTGCCTGCTAATCCCCCCCCCCCCTTTCTTGTTAAGGAATCTTGACAAAGGATTAAATTCACTGCAATTGGAGTGGTCCAGTGAAAGGGATATGGTGGAGACAGGTTGTGAGGGGCTCCGATGGGGCTTTTCATTGAATTTCATTCAGTAATTCTCTAGCTTTTGGTTTCAGACAAAGTAAGTGATTACTCTCTGTTTCTTTAACTGTAAAATGGAAATTTTGCAATGACTACTTGATTGAAATTTTTCACATTAAAAATATTTTAAATCTTTGTGTTAGGCACGGCACACTTACTATATATATGTATGTATATATATGTATGTATATATATATGTATATATATAAAACTTAAAGTATGTCTTGAATTTTCCTTTTCTTTTTTAAAAGAATTATTTTATTTAACTATTTTTAAAAGAATTATTTTTCTATTTCTTTCTATCCCGAGAGGAGAATGGAGGAGAAGGAATTGGGGCATGGCCATCCCCCCGGGGGGTGATTTCTCGCTTTCTGTTTCTCTGTCTCTCTCTGTCTGTCTGGTGAGTGCATATGCCCTATAGTGAAAAACCTCTCAAAAAAAAAAAAAAAAGCTCATGCCGGGCACGTGTGCATGCATGCTGAAGATCCTGAGAGGAGAATGGAGGAGAAGGGATTGCGGCGTGGCCATACCCCCTGGGGGGTGATTTCTTGCTTTCTGTCTCTCTGTCTCTCTCTGTCTGTCTGGTGAGTGCACATACCCTATAGCAAAAACTTCTCAAAAAAAAAAATCAAAATTTAAAAATTTTAAGAGGACTTTGCTTAATACTTAAAGCCTGGAAACAGGATTCTGTTCAAGTAGTAGGTACATGGACCTGTCCACAAGTCAAGAGAAGACAAAACTCCTTAACTCTGGAAAACAAAGCATAGAAGATTAGTAATGTTTTAGTTAAAAGTCATAAAATTCTATTTCACCAGTTCAAACTCATGTACTTTATCTTCTGTTGTGGTCCAATCTTTCCGTTTAAATTCTGGAAGATAACGTTCACCTCAGGACTTATCAGAACTCTTTTTTCTGTGTGTCTGAATTTAGTTTTCCTAGGATAGCACTCTTCAGAACTTTCTAGTCTGGTGCTGGTAAATTCTTTCAGGTTTTGTTTATCTGGGAAGGTTCATGTCTTTTCTTCCCAAATGAATGATAATCTTGCTGGGTACAGTATTCTCGGTTGAAATTGCTTTTCCCTTAACACGTTGAATATATTTTCCCATTCTTTCCTCGCTCACATTGTTTCTGATGAGAGATCTGCTGTTAGCCTGACAGGATATCCTTTGTAGGTAGCTTGACATTTCTCTCTTGCCAATCTTAGTATCTTGTCTTTGTCTGTGGTTTTGGTCATTCTGGCTCTAATGTGTCTTGGGGAAGATCTTTTTGTGTTGATCCTATTTGGGGTCCTCTGTATTTCCTGGGTCTGGATCTTCAAATGCCTCTCTAGGTTTGGAAAGTTTTCCTCTAGGATTTCATGGAATAGATTATCAATGCCCTTATTAGTCTCTTTACCTTCTGGAATACCGATTATCGAGATGTTTGGATATTTAATGATATCTAGTATTTCTCATATATCATCCTCATTTTTGGGCTATTTTCTCAGTCTTTGTGGTGGATTTTGCTAGTCCAGCATTCTGTCTTCTACACCTGAGATTCGTTTTCTGTATGATTTAGTCTGCTTTTAATACTTTCAAAGGAGGTTTTGACTCCCTGCCTTCATCTCTTAACAGTTCTATTTCATTCGTTTTTATGGTGTGTATTTCATCTTTCAGCTCTCGCAGAACTTCCTCACCTCCTGGAACTCATTGGTTCTTTTCTTTTGGAGTCCATTGTCTCTCTTCTCTTCCACCTCTGTTAGCTTTGTCATTATAAATACTCTAACTTCTTTATCAGACATTTCCATGAATTTCCTTGAACTGTCTGTGGATGAAGAGGACTTATTCTTTTCCCTTGGGGGGGAGGTATTTTCTTGGTTTCTCATATTTCTTGTGCCTTTGCAGTGATTTCTAGTCATCTGATGAGTTATTTGTTTCTTCCTAATTTCTAGAAGTTCAGTATGAGCGATCAGAGGAGCACCGGAGGGACTGCTCTGCAAACTCTTTGGCGTTCCGTTTTTCTTCCTTTGTGTCACAGATTCAGTGGATATTGAGGAATATGAGGACCCCAATAGTATTTGGATCCTTGGCTACATTTCACTTAGACCTGTCTAAACACTCAGTGCATGGAGGCTGAGCAACAAAGTGATGCAGTTAAAGAAGAAGAATAAGAAAACAGAGAAAGAAAGAAAAAAGGATAAAGCATACAAACAAAAAATTCTTCTGACCTGCTTTTTTTGCTTTTCCTAGATGAGAGGAGGAAAGGGGGGAGGATTATTACCAAGATAAAGGGAGATTTCAGAGTGAAGAAAATACTTTACCTCAAAAAAATAAAAAAGAAAATTAAAAAATTAAAAGACAGAGACAAAGAGAAAAGGACAGAGGGGGCTCTACCAGGGTGACTTCTCAGCAGAACATCTTTATTGCTCTTATTCTTGAAAGCTCTAGATCCTAGCTCTCAGGTTTCTTTCTCTCTCTCTCTCTTTCTTTCAATCTGATCAGAAGGTGACAGAGAGAGAGAGAGGGAAAATGAGAAAATAAGCTGCCAGGTCCAGGACTTGAACCATGGTCAACCATGTGGTAGTCCAGTGCCCTCAACCACCACACCACCTGCTGGTCCCTATTTATTTACTTATTTTTAATTTGACCAGAGAGGGACAGAGTGAGAGAGAAAAGGAAAATGAGAAAGTAAGCCACCAGATCTGGGACTTGAACCATAGTCAGCCATGTGGAAGTCCAGCACCCTTAACCACCACACCATTGGCTGGCACCTTTCTTATTTATTTTAGAGAGAGATTTTTGCTATAGGGTGCATGTGCTCACCAGAAAGAGAGACAGAGAGACAGTGAGACATCACGCCCTGGGGTGGATGGCCATACTGCAATTTCTTCTCTTCCATTCTCTCAGGATTTTGGGCACACACACGCACATGCACCTGGCATGAGTTTCGAGCTACTGGGTCCGGGACTCAAACCATGGTCAGCCTCGTGGGAGTTCAGCGATGTAACCATTACACCATCTGCTCGTCCCATCTTGTTGCCTTTTTCCATATGTCTATATCCATGTAACCACCATGGTTACTGAGCCTCACACTATTTCAACGGGCTCATTTCAGTGGGCTCATTTCAGTGGGCTTCTTTCTGTCCCCACCTGATCATTCCCTCTATCACTACTTTGTAGGACTTTGATGGTGCTCTTAAATGGGAAAAAGTGTGTTTATCTTGCTTTGTAAATTCTAAAGTGTTCTATAGGGATCTACAGAGAGAGACAGACAGACGGACAGTAATGAGAGTCTTACTGGTGAAATGGCACTAATAAGAGATCAAAAGGGGGAAGTCTGAGAGAGGTAGAGTTTAAAAGATTAAGAGCCTAGAAGGACAGTTAGTAATTTGAGAGATGTGATTTGTTTGTTCAAGGATCACTTGGGATGTTAGTATAGAATGGGCACTTTGATGGAAACTTGAAATTTATTTTATTGTCTTTAGCTGGTAAGTTTATTCTACTTATTTTATCTTTGATCATGGATATATTTGGATTTATTTTTGTTATTTTATGCTTTCTGTTTACTCTGCTTTTCCATTTTTTGTTTTGTCTTTTCTCTCTACTGCTTCATTTGGATGAGCAAATTTCCTTTATCTCATCTCTTCTGGTTTGGGACATATATTGTATTTTTACTTTTAAATGATTATTATTAAAATTTCAACATACATAATTGTATAGTTTAGTGTTAGTTTTCCCAGTCAACAGTAGGATCTTGTATGCCTTTATTTCTCTTGTATCTTTTTTATTTATATATCATTATAGATAGATACTATTACTATCCAATTATACATATATACACACACATATATATATATATATATTATTTTTATTTATTTATTCATTTTTTTGAGAGGTTATTGCTATAGGGCACATGCGCTCACCAGAAAGACAGAGAGAAACAGACAGACAGAAGGTGAGAAATCACACCCCAGGGTGAGTGGCCACACCACAATCCCTTCTCCTCTCGGGATCTTGGGCACGCACGCACATGCGGCAGTTGTTGAGTTTAAACCACCGGGTCTGGGACTCGAACTGTGGTCGACTATATGGGAGTCCAGTGACACAGCCATTACACCAACTGCTGATCCCAATCCAATATTTTAATATCTCTTCCCTTCTGCCAGTTGTTGCAGTAGTACTAGTTATTATTATAGTTTTATATAGTCCATGCATGTTTACATTTAACAGTGTTTGCCATTTTCTTTGGTTCATCATTTCTATAATTCAAGTTTTCTATGATTCAGCTTTTTTTTTTAATCTTGAAATATATATTTTAAGAGAAAGCTTCTTATCCAGTGTACCTTAACTGGTTTATAATGTGCTGATATGTTAACTCCTTTAGCCCTTAGGGTAGGAGTGTTGGGTCTGCAAAGTTAGTCATCTCTCTCATCCACTAAAAAAAAGTCTTCTGCTTACCATAGTGTTACATAAAAAATATTTTCACATATGACAAATGTAAAAAAGTTAGTGACACTATTTAGAACTTCTGTCAGTGGAATTTTGTTAGTGGTAACATTCACTTTTTGTTTATCTGAACAAGGCTTTATTTTAGTCCCTATTTTTATGATAGTTTATCTGGGTATATAAATCTTCAGATGTTCAGTTTTCTTTTTTGTTCTAGCGAAATGTCTGTGATCAATCTAATTGTTCTATCCAATGTGTTTTATTACTAAAATTATGAAGCCACAGTCAGAAGGAAGGAAAAGGTAAAAGGAGGTTTAAGACTATTAGTCACCTTTGTATTTCTTATCTAAGTTCCCTTTGAGAAATCAAGAAGGAAAATGAACGTTCTTGTTCTAGGTAATCCTGGTTGAATTGTATCCCAGTGGATTCCAACGGTCTTTCTTTGATGAAGAAGACCTGAATACCATTGCAGAGGGAGATAATGTGTATGCTTTCCAAGCCCCTCCGTCATCCGGCCAGGGTACATGCTCAGGTATAGTAGTGCTTTGCATAATTTTATTTAGATATTATGAATTATAGACTTGAGAGTACTCTTTATGTGCTAAGGCATAAAATATTCAGTCTTGGTTCTTGGAGATATCAAGCTTATTTTCTTGGATATTTGTTGTACAGATGATTAATATTAAAAACCATTCTGAGGGGCCAACAGGTGGCATTGTAGTTAAGGCACTAGATTCCCACATGGCCAACTATAGTCTTGGAGTCTTGGACCTGGTGGCTTGAAAAAAATCACTCCAGGCATATGTGTGTGCCCAAAATCCTTCGAAGAGAATGGAGAAGGGATTGCAGTGTGGCCATCCTCCCTGGGAGGTGATTTCTCACTTTCTCTGTTTCTGTGTGTCTGTTTCTCTTTGGTAAGCACACACACTCTATGACAAAAACCTTAAAAACAAAAAGCTATTCTGCTAACTCAGACATTCTTAAAAGCAAGTATCAGAATCAGGTGAAGACTCGTTAGAGCATATTGCCTGGACCCCATCTGCAGAATTTAGGATTCAGTAAGCCCTGGGGTGGGGCCTGAGAATTTGCATGTTTAACAAGTTCCCAGATAATGCTGATGTTACTGCTCTAGGGCCCACACTTTGAGAACCACTATTCAGTGATGGAGTCAGGGTCATTTTTGCCTTCAGGACTTTTGTGGTTCGCTGATCCCAATCCAATATTTTAATATCTCTTCCCTTCTTCTGCCAGTTGTTGCAGTAGTACTAGTTATTATTATAGTTTTATATAGTCCATGCATGTTTACATTTAACAGTGTTTGCCATTTTCTTTGGTTCATCATTTCTATAATTCAAGTTTTCTATGATTCAGCTTTTTTTTTTAATCTTGAAATATATATTTTAAGAGAAAGCTTCTTATCCAGTGTACCTTAACTGGTTTATAATGTGCTGATATGTTAACTCCTTTAGCCCTTAGGGTAGGAGTGTTGGGTCTGCAAAGTTAGTCATCTCTCTCATCCACTAAAAAAAAGTCTTCTGCTTACCATAGTGTTACATAAAAAATATTTTCACATATGACAAATGTAAAAAAGTTAGTGACACTATTTAGAACTTCTGTCAGTGGAATTTTGTTAGTGGTAACATTCACTTTTTGTTTATCTGAACAAGGCTTTATTTTAGTCCCTATTTTTATGATAGTTTATCTGGGTATATAAATCTTCAGATGTTCAGTTTTCTTTTTTGTTCTAGCGAAATGTCTGTGATCAATCTAATTGTTCTATCCAATGTGTTTTATTACTAAAATTATGAAGCCACAGTCAGAAGGAAGGAAAAGGTAAAAGGAGGTTTAAGACTATTAGTCACCTTTGTATTTCTTATCTAAGTTCCCTTTGAGAAATCAAGAAGGAAAATGAACGTTCTTGTTCTAGGTAATCCTGGTTGAATTGTATCCCAGTGGATTCCAACGGTCTTTCTTTGATGAAGAAGACCTGAATACCATTGCAGAGGGAGATAATGTGTATGCTTTCCAAGCCCCTCCGTCATCCGGCCAGGGTACATGCTCAGGTATAGTAGTGCTTTGCATAATTTTATTTAGATATTATGAATTATAGACTTGAGAGTACTCTTTATGTGCTAAGGCATAAAATATTCAGTCTTGGTTCTTGGAGATATCAAGCTTATTTTCTTGGATATTTGTTGTACAGATGATTAATATTAAAAACCATTCTGAGGGGCCAACAGGTGGCATTGTAGTTAAGGCACTAGATTCCCACATGGCCAACTATAGTCTTGGAGTCTTGGACCTGGTGGCTTGAAAAAAATCACTCCAGGCATATGTGTGTGCCCAAAATCCTTCGAAGAGAATGGAGAAGGGATTGCAGTGTGGCCATCCTCCCTGGGAGGTGATTTCTCACTTTCTCTGTTTCTGTGTGTCTGTTTCTCTTTGGTAAGCACACACACTCTATGACAAAAACCTTAAAAACAAAAAGCTATTCTGCTAACTCAGACATTCTTAAAAGCAAGTATCAGAATCAGGTGAAGACTCGTTAGAGCATATTGCCTGGACCCCATCTGCAGAATTTAGGATTCAGTAAGCCCTGGGGTGGGGCCTGAGAATTTGCATGTTTAACAAGTTCCCAGATAATGCTGATGTTACTGCTCTAGGGCCCACACTTTGAGAACCACTATTCAGTGATGGAGTCAGGGTCATTTTTGCCTTCAGGACTTTTGTGGTTCAGGGTCTGTGCTTAAAGTAAAATGTCTATAAATCTGAGCAGTAGAAAAAGCCATTAAGAGACCTTTTGTTAGCAGTCCGCTTTCCCAGTCTAGCTTTTCCTAAGCTTTAGGAAAATGGTTAATTTCTGACAGTCTTTTATTGGAGACCAGTATACATTCTGGCTCAGTTAGCCAATCAAGAAGGTCCATATATATCTGTGTGTGTGTGTTCATGTTAAGTTTGTTTGTTTGTTTCTTTCTTTCTTTTATTAGGGGAGGAGGGAAGAGAGGGAGAGAGAGAGAGAAAAAAAAAAAACATTGTCAGCATAGTTTACTCTGAAATTCCCCCATCATGTGCGTGCACCCAGAGTGTTCAGGCTGAACTGAGCCCTGATCTTCTGTGTGGCTTCTAGCCACAGAGAGTTGTGCCATCATTGTGCTGTGGTGGCTGGGCCAAGAAGGACTCTATTTAAAGGACACTGCGCCGGGGTTGTAATACAGCCCAGATGAGTCCTACATCCCGACCCCAGATCCTCAGCCGGCCTAGGTGGCAGGCCATGGGAACTAGATGTCTGTGGTTCTCTGACTCCACAGGGAGACTCCAGACATAGAATATAGAACGACATACTGACTGGCCCTGACTGTGTTACAATCTGGTGAGGCAACTCCACATTTAAAATTTAATCATGGGTGACACATCTTTTCCTTGAAAGTTGACGTTTCAGAGCTGATTGAACATAGAAGAGTCTAATGCCTCTACTTCCTCATGGCGAAGATTCTCTGTGTACTTTTACCTCAGTTTCGTACGAGAGTGGATACTCTGGGGGCTCTCTAATCAAAGCCTAAAAGCTACCAAGATCATTTTGAAGTATTTTCAAGATTGTTTTGAAAAGTATTAATTAAGGTTTTGCCCTTATTTTAAAATTGTTGGCTGAACACAACCGCAGATTCACTGCCATGCATGGATCTTCACATGCCAGGTGCCTTATCATCTCTTCCCCTAAATCCCCCGTGTATCTTCCCTCTGCTGGCTCATAGATGCTTGGAGGGAAGAGGGGCTGGAGAAGCCAAGGTTCTGACCCAGCAAAGCAACTCCTTGTGAGAACACAAATGTCCTTTTCTCTCCTCCAGCTCATCCATCGGGCCTGTCAGTCTCCCCACGCCTGGCTGCCCGTGAGGGGCCACGAGTTCCCCTGCCTCTCCACAGTGAGAACAAGGTGCTGATCCTCTTCTGTAACTTGGTGGGGTCGGGGCCACAGGCTAGCAGGTATGTTTAACTTCATCTTTTTTTTTCATTTCCTGTCTGGGATTTGTGGATCTGCGCTTGGGATTCTATCTAGAATAATTCTACGTGAGAAAGTTAAATGTCTGTCTTCAGTCAGCACAGCCTGGGCACAGCTCCTACTGTCGTCCTCTGTGACTGTGGGGAACCCAGGTGGGGTGGATGCAGACCATGGCAGGCCCTCTTCCCACACTCCAGGCTGGGCAGGGGGGTTGTGATCAGCTCAGGCTGGGTGGGGAACAGGTGATGCTGGCACAGGTCAGGCAGCAACTCCTACCCTAGCTCTGGGACACTGGGAACGGGGGTGGTGAAAACAAAACAAATAAACGAACAAACGAACCTATTCCTGAGGTTAATAAACTAGGAGTAGGGAAGAGGGCATCTTAGCAGAAAAGGGTGCCTTCAGCAGATAGATGACACACCCGTAACCACTGAACAGCAGAGGCTTTCCTGTAATGTCAGGAATTATTGTTATTGTAGTCACCATTATTATTTTATATCCTGTTGTAAGGGCTAGCACCTCAGTAAATCAAGCTTAAAAGAAAAAAAAAAACTGACTACAAGAAAAGAGGAGACAAAAATCACTACATGGTAAGCTGTCCAAAAGACCAAGTACTGGAAAATGATTAGATCTAATGAAGAGCCAGCTCGTGGTGTGGTGGTTAATGTGTTTGGATCTCTCATGGCCCACCTCGCAGTTCAAATCCCACACCTGGCAGCTTGAGAAATACACTAGGCGCGTGTGCCCAAAATCCTGAAAGGAGGGAGAAGGGATTTTGACAGGACTGTCCCCCATGGGGGTGCCTTCTCACTTTCTCTTTCTCCCCAACCCCACTCCTATTTGTCTCTTTCTAGTGAGCACACATGTCCTCTGTCAAACTGATACCAAAAAGAAAAAAAAAGAATTCCCCAAAACGACTGGCTACATAACAAAAGCAGTCATAAATACATACACATATACATACGTATGTGCATACACACACATATGCACACACTCTCCCAGATCTACCAGATGCAGTCGTATGTTGCTTAACGATGGGGTACAGCCTGGGAAGTGCATCGTTGGGACATTTTGTCATTGTGCGAGCATCGTAGAGCGCTCTTACACAAACACGTACGGGATTAGCCTACTACACACGTGGACTTCATGGGACCACTGTCACATGTGCGGTGTGTGTTGACCAAAATGTTGTTCGGTGGCTCATGACTGTATACAATGACGGGTAGCATTCTTTTTTTTTTTTTTTTTTTCAAATAGAGGTTTTTGCTTTAGAGCATATTTGTTCACCAGAAAGACAGAGAAAGCGAGAAATCACCCCCGGGGGATGACCATGCTATAATCCCTTCTCCTCCATTCTCCTCTTGGGATCCTGGGCACGCACGCACACGCACCTGGCGTGAATTTACTCTACTGGATCCAGGACTTGAACCGTGGTCGACTACGTGGGAGTCCAGCAACATAGCTGTTATGCCAACTGCTGGTCCTGTGGGTAGCATTCTTATATGCATAGTATAAGAAAGCTCTTTAAGGATAGAATTCCAATAAGACATTTTAAATTTATAAGATGTTTCTAAAGAATAAACTGGCTAGAATAGCCAGAAAATATTGGGAGACAGAATTAAGTTTTTTTTTTTTTTCTTTTTTAGGTTTCTGCTATAGGGTATGTGCACTTGCTAGAGAGAGAGAGAGAGAGAGAGAGAGAGAGAAGCAAAGTGAGAAATCACTTCCCCAGGGTGTGTCCACACTACAGTTCCTCCTCCTCCATTCTTCCCTCAGGATTTTGGGCATACACACAAATGCACCTGGCATGATTTTCACACTGCCAGGTCTGGGACTCGAACTGTGGTTGGTCATGTGGGAATTTAGCACCTTAACCCCCTGCTGGCCCCAGAATAAAGTTTATTTATTAAAATAATATAATATGGGCAGAAGAATGTACAGTTAAGTCAACAGGACAGAATAGTCCAAATATCTGTAAGCATTTATTATGTGATTATAATACTGTATTTCATATTACTAGGGGCGAATGAGTTATTCAGTAAGACAGGTCAATTGATTTCTTTATTTTAAAGAATCAATTTTCCCCCCACCAAAAATTATACATGTAACTTTCAGATAGATTAGAAAGGTAACTGTAGTGAAAGAAACCATAGACTAACCTGAAAAAAATGTAGGAGTATTTATGTTCTGAGTGGGGAGCTATTTCAACATCTAATGCAGGAGACTATAAAAATGTAGGAGTATTTATGTTTCTGAGTGGGGAGCTATTTCAACATCTAATGCAGGAGACTATAAAAGAAAAGGCTATTTTAAAGACATTTAAAGTTTTAAACCAAAATCGAACTTAGGGGCCAGCAGATGGTGTCGGGGTTAAGATGCTGGATTCCCACACAGCTGGCTACAGTTCAAGACCCAAACCTGTTGGCTTGAAAAATCACAACAAACAAATAAATAAATGCATGCTTAAAAAAAATAAAATTCAAAAGGCAAATGCCAAATGAGAAAAAATATTTATGTCTTGTGTGAGTTAGAGGATTCCTTGACATCATCTAAAACCTAACTCTCCAATTAATGAAACATTCTTAGTAAAGTGAACCACAGAAATTCATATTAATTCCCAGAAGAAAGACAATTATATATTAAAATATTCAGTTTCATTAGTAGTAGGAGAAATTCTGATTGCAATAGCACAATACTATGATTAACCTTATGGGTTGTTAAGAATTTTTAAAAATTGCTGTGGCTGGCAGGTGGTATAGTGGTTAAGGTGCTGGACTGCCACATGGCCGACCATGGTTCGAGTCCTGGACCTGGTGGCTTGAAACTCACACTGGGCGTATATGTATAAGTGCCTATAATCCTAAGAGGAGAATGGAGGAGAAGGGATTGCAGCATGGCCATCCGCACTGAGGGGCAATTCCTCACTTTCTCTCTCTCTGTCTCTGGAAAGCACACATGCCCTATTGCAAACATCTCTCTATAAAAAGAAAAAGAATTTTTAAAAATTGGAGCTATTCTCATGGCCTGGTGGTTAAAGGAGCTGGATTCCACATGATTGACCACAGGGTTCAAATTCTGGCCCCAGCAGCTTGAAAAATAGTGTGTGTGTGTGTGTGTGTGTGTGTGTGTTGTGTGTGTGTGTGTGTGAGTGTGTTGTGTGTGTGTGTGTTGTGTGTGTGTGTTGTGTGTGTGTGTGAGTGTGTGTGTGTTGTGTGTGTTGTGTGTGTGTGAGTGTGTGTGTGTTGTGTGTGTTGTGTGTGTGTGTTGTGTGTGTGTGTTGTGTGAGTGTGTGTGTGTTGTGTGTGTTGTGTGTGTGTGTGTGTGTGTGTACGTAAAATTCCAGTGTGGTGGACAGATGCAGGAGAGGAAGTTGCGATGTGATCACACCCCACTGGGGCATGCTTTCCTCTCTCTCTCTCTGGTGACTGTACATACCCTCTGTCAAATAAAAAATGAGAAAAGATTGCTAACATTCATTCCAGCAAACGTCTTGGGAGGTAGGTGGTTACCTCACTGGCAGGGTATTGTATCCTCTCTGGAGAACAGTTTGGGAATAAATTGCTTTGGTCTTGCCTTTCTGCTGCTGAAAGTTTATCCTAAACATTGGTCATGTGCACCCAAGGGTGTACGTGCAGGATGTATGTAGCTCTTGCTATAAGCAAGCATCATTTAAAAAATAACCAACCTGGGGCCAGCAGGTGGTATTGGGGTTTAAGGCACTGGGCTCCTACATGGCTAACAGTGGTTCGAGTCCCAGACCTTGCAGCTTGCTTTCTCACTTTCCCTCTCTCTCTGCATGCCCATTGCAGCTAGCAAATTTAAATAATAATGATAATAATGATAAATAAAATGAAATAAAGAACTTTCAAAAATTATTATAAAAATCAACCAGAATGCCTGACGATAGAGGATGAGTTAAATAAACTGGTCTGTCCACACAGTAATAGGTGCACGGTGCTTGCCTATACTATTTTAGCAATGTCTATTCAACAGCTTCACTTTTTAACATTTTTGTCATAGGGCACGTGCACTTACCCGAGAGAGACAGAGAGAAACACCTCCAGTGGGGATGGCCATGCCACAATCCCTTCTCCTCCATTCTCCTCAAGATATACACATATACCTGGCATGTTTTTTAAGCATACATAAATGCTCAATGTGTTTTTCAAGTCACTGGGTCCAGGACTTGAAAAAATGTCGGAGGACGCTAAGGTGTGGTATCCAGCACCAAGCACTCCAAGTTCACGGCTGTGTATCCATTAGATTGAGATGTGCAAGATATTTCCAGCTCTGAGAAAAACCCTGGTACACAAACCCACACTCATGTCAGGGCTGTTCCTCTGCCTTTCGTTCCCCTGGCTCCAGTGTTCCCTTACCCTACTCCGTAAGTGGGGAAGAGAGCTCACCAGCCAGCTCATCGCACTCGGACCTGTCTGTTTACACTGCGGTGTCTCCCTGACTTTGCATCTCTGGGTCTCTGTTCACACTGCAGTGTACCCATTTGTGATGAGGCTCCCAGGCTAGCACTTCGGTGTTGTGTGTGGCTCCTAACTCCTCCCTGATCTAACTTGAGTGGAACACACGAGTAGAGCAAACGTATATGACTGTTGGGTAGGGCTGGCTTTTCTTTGGCTGAAACACCCTGACTTCCTTGGATTTTCAGGTTTGGGCCACCTTTCCTGATGAGGGAAGACCGAGCCATCTCCTGGGCCCAGCTGCAGCAGTGCATTCTAAGTAAGGTCCGCTGTCTGATGAAGAGCGAGGCCCCCGTGCAGGTCAGCGCGAGTCGGTGTGTGCTGGGAGGGCGGTGGCACCAGGAGAGCAGAGAACTGGCTGTGAATGAGAGTGCTCGCACGGCTTTCTAAAACGACTTTAATTTATGGGCAAGGAAGGAGCGTTTGATAGCCTGTCGTGGTTTGCCCTTCTTGTCATTACAAAATGCCTTTCACGGATGGAGCCCTTTCTTATTAAGACTTTCAAAACACCATTGGAATGAAGAGTAGCATTTCCATCATTATTCTCCATTTTGTATATTTATGGCTTTCTCTAGTTTTCCCTTAGAAGATAGCACACTGTATTTACATTGTGACAAACAGACTTAATGGACACAAAGATGGGAAATTATCTGTTGTGATAATGTGTATGGTAGCATCTTTGATTGGTCTAATATGTAGTGTATTCATGCTGGGAAAATCCATTTTAGATGCCATAAAAATGTTCAGTGATTAAATTTTAAGAAGAAAAGAAAGGAAACAAAATGCATGTCAAAGGCAAAAAATTATTTGGAGGACTTGAGATATAATTTCTGTGAAAAATTAAGGTGGATGGTTATGCCCAGATGAGAGAGAGAGTCTAGATATTAAAATCATTTTGTCTAGTTTTTGAAAAACTAAAATAACTCAAGGGAAAGGCCCAGCCATGGTGGTGCCCTGTGGTGCTCCACAGGCTGAGACCATGTCGGAGGCCTGGGTTTAACTCCCCAGTCAGTCTAAGTGCTGGGTGTCAGGCATGGGCCTGTAATCCCAGGAAGGCAGGAGGGTTGTGAGCTCAGATCTGGCCTGGACCACATAGTCAGACCCTGCCTACAAGCAAACAAAGATCGCAAGGGAAAATGCCTATTCCCCTCTTTCTTCTTTTCATTTTTCAGTTTGCTATAAAGCGTATGTGCTTAACAGAGAGAGAGAGAGAGACAGAGAGAGAGAGAGAGAGAGAGAAAGCATCCTGCCAAGAGGGGCGATGACCACATCCCAATTTCTTCATATTTCACTTGAGATTTTGGGCATGCACACACCTATACCTGGCGTGTTTTTCAAGCCGTCGTGTCTGGGACTTGAGCTACACAGTTGGCTATGTGGGATCTAGCTACCTTAAACCACCATGCCACCTGACTGGCTCGTTATTTTTCATTGTCAGAGGGCACATATGCTCACCAGAGAGAGAGAAAGTACCCCCTCCCCCCATGGAGTGTTGCCACGAGCAATCCTTTTTCCTCCATTTCTCCATCCTGTTAGGATTTTGAGTACACACACACACACACACACACACACTCGCATGTTCAATGTATTTTTCTTTTCTTTCTTTTTTTCTTTATAGAGCTTTTTGCTATAGGGTCTGTGTGCTTGCTGGAGAGACAGAGAGACAGAAAGTGAGAAATCACCCCCCCAGTGGGGTTAGCCACGCCACAGTCTCTTATCCTCTATTCTCCTCTTGGGATGCTGGGCATGCACGCACATGTGCCCAGCATGAGTTTAAAGGCTCTGGGACTTGAACCATGGTTGGCCCCTTGGGAGTCCAGCACCTTAACCACTACGCCACCTGCTGGCTCCCAGTGTGTTTTTCGGGCCACAGACTCCTAGATTCAAACCACAGTTCGCCATGTAGGATCACTCTCGGCTGGCCCTGGGAAAACACCTTTTTCCCTTTTTCACTTATTTATTCTCAGGCCAATAATCACCCTCCACATACAAACACCCGATTTTTTAAAATCATTGAATGTTGGCTTCTGTAGTATCAGAAGCTGCCTGACCCGGAAGCTGTTCAAATGTTTACAGAGAGATCAGTAGCATTCGAATATTGTTTCTTCTCAACTATTCTCTCAGTAAGTTTTTTCCACTTGGAGGCTATACCAAACTTATATCAGAGCTAATTCCTTATCATTCATGTTCCTGCCTGCTCAGGAAAACCGTATGTTTGATTTAGGATTTCATACTTCGTTAGAGACATTCATCACCTTTTTCCCACCTTTATCTCTAAGGGATTTTGTTCAAGGCACTGCAGAGCAGATCTGCCCCAGGGCCCAAATTAGAAACTCTACCTCCTCCACAAGTAGGTCAGAATTTCTAGCATCAGTGTTAGCCGTCTTCCCGGCCTGTGCTGCTTGTCAAAAGTGGACAAAACCCCTTTTATGTGAACATTGAACTCAGCTGTCCTGCTTCTCTACCTGGTTGCGTGGAGACCTTTGCCTCTTCACCTCTACAGTCATTTCCATTTTAGAAACTGATCAAGCAGGTAGCGGAGCCGGCCCAATTCTAAGTCAGGTAACCTCCAGCTTGGCCATGGGATGCTTTTCGGTTGTTTTTTTTTTTGGTAAGTGTGTGGTTGGGTGTGATTTTTCTGTGAGAAAAATGCGTTCTAGGTTGGTGTGAGGGTCTCAGGCCAGCCCACTTATTCAATCCATAGTTCCTTTAAACACTAACTCGATGTGGTTATAATTTGAAAAGACTACAGAGTTTTCTTTTTGTGTGTGTGGGGGGAGGTTTTTGCTATAGAGCGTGTGTGCTGGCCAGACAGACAGAGAGAGACAGAGAGACAGAAAGCGAGAAAGCCCCCCCCAGGGGGGATGGTTACACCGCAATCCCTTCTCCTCCATTCTCCTCTTTGGATCTTGGGCACGCACGCACACGCACCCGGCGTGAGTTTTAAGCCACCGGGTCTGGGACACGAACCGCGGTCGACTACGTGGGAGTCCAGCGACATAGCCATTATGCTAACTGCTGGTTCCCGGAGTTTTCAACACTGTACTGAAGAGGTTAAACTTAGCGACCATGTATTGAAGGTTTTAAAAGAAATCTCCCTAGCCAAGAACAGAGAATAGGAAAATGTTTCTTACAAAAATGACCAATATGGGGGCCAGCAGATGTGGTGGGTGATTAAGGCGCTAGACTCCCAAATGACTGACCATGACTTGAGTCCCGGACACGGCCGCTTGAAAACCACACCAGGCGTGTGTGCATTCATGTTCAGAACCCTGGGAGGAGAATGGAGAAGAGATTGTGGTGTGTCCGTCCTCTCTGAGGGGGGTGATTCTTCATGATCTTTCTCTGGTAAGTGCATGTGCCCTACTGGGGGTGAAACCTTAAAAGAAAATCATGCCCAAAATATGTGTGCCTAAAATCCAGGAGGATTATGGAGGAGAAGGGATTGCAGTGTGGCTCTCCCCCGGAGGGTGATTTCTCACTTTCCCTCTCATTGTCTCTCTCTGTCTCTGTCCAACAAGTGCATGCACCCTATGGAAAAGCATCTATTTTAAAAAAAATGACCAATGTGCCGGACAGAATTGATTTGTATGAATTAAGAAAGAAAAGGATTGATTATTGCTAAAACATTTTTATGTCACTTACATACATGCATGCGTGCAGCCAACACTACTGCATAGTACGTAGACAGAGCAAGCCGCCTCCCTGTAGCTGCTGGTGCCTTGATCATGGGTGGCCCTGCCCTCAAACAGCAGGGCTCCGCTACAGCTTAT